CCCCGCGTTTTTGTTGCTAAGAGAGACGAGTTTAAATAATCCCCCCTCCCCTAATTTTACGATCTTTCTTGCCACTGTTCAAGTGAATTGCTGCAGATGTTAAGCTAGTAATGTGGTTGAGGACTCAAGATTGTTTGGGGGGGGGGGGGGGCAAGAAACTGACTCTGTAAACCGCTTAAAGGGGGCTGTAAAACACCGTAAAGCCGTCTATAAGTCCAAGGCAGTGTCTCTCAACCTTGTCAACTTGAAAGTGTCTGGACTTCAACTCCCAGGATTCCCCAGCTGGCTGGGGAATTCTGGGAGTTGAAGTCCAGACATCTTCAAGTTGACAAGGTTGAGAGACACTGCCTTGGACTTATAGACGGCTTTACGGTGTTTTACAGCCCCCTTTAAGCGGTTTACAGAGTCAGTTTCTTGCCCCCCCCCCAAACAATCTTGAGTCCTCAACCACATTACTAGCTTAACATCTGCAGCAATTCACTTGAACAGTGGCAAGAAAGATCGTAAAATTAGGGGAGGGGGGATTATTTAAACTCGTCTCTCTTAGCAACAAAAACGCGGGGCTGGATTGTGGTCGCAAGTCGAGGACTACCTGTATTTACTTATTTATTTGGGTTGGGCGGAGAGAACGATGCTGCCGTGGATCCAATTGGCTGTTAAAAAGAATGTCCTTGCCGAATTGAGACGCTTCCCGAAGGCTAGCAAAAAAAAAAAAAAAAAGTGGCTCCTCGCGAATGAAAACATTTTCTGGGTGTTCTGAGACGCTAGAACTTTTTTTTTCCCCCTTCCTCCTCCCGTTTCCGAGGAAATTAGCCTTAAAGCGTGCTTGCGTGTTCCGCTGAAATGCCCTCTACTTTTTGTTTCGTGCTTTCCACAGTAGAAGGGACCAGCACAGGTTTGAATCTCCTGCTCAATTTTTGCATGGGAAGTGCCGTCCGTTTTTGTCTATAAAAGGTTATGGCGTTCACCTTTTAGGGGGGAAAAAAATTTGGCAGCGAAACCTGCCGCGTGGTCATAGAAGGGGCCCTTTTGGCGGTTTGCTACTCCGGTTAGAAAGGCCACGTTTCTATCAAAAAGGGGCCATTCATCGATTCTTTCCAGCTGCTGATAAAATTGTCTTTATTTACTTTGTAAGCCTCAGCTGCGGGAAATGGCCATTTGGCTTAACTCTGCTTTTCTAGTTTACTAAAGGGTGAGCGACATAACTAGGCATCTTTCAGTTGTTACATCCCTGCATGTTTCTCTTGACTGGATCGCTCCTCCAAATGTGTATCGACATTCAATGTTTTGTAAATGTTCCGTAGAATACTTTGCTTGCACGGTTAAAAATCAGGATCTGAATGCTTCGTGTTGATATTTGCAAGAAGATGACTTTTGAAGGATGGGCAGAAAGCCGTTGAATTTTCGGTGCATGGAAAAACTCTGTGAAAAACACTTTCTTCTACCTTTCTAAGTAGCATGGATTTTGCCCCCTTGTGCTCCAAACCTGTGTTATCATGTAATAGGTTAGGGCTTTTAAAGAGGGCAGAGGTTTCAACAATGCAATCTATGATGGAAGCACTTCAGAATAACAGAGTTGGAAGGGACCTTGGAGGTCTTCTACTCCAACCCTAAACCATTACAGACAAATGATGGTTAGGGGACTGGAGACAAACACATAAAGAACGGTTGCTGGAATTGGGTACGTCTAGTTTAATGAAAAGAAGGACCAGGGGAGACATGATAGCAGTCTTCCAATATCTCAGGGGCTGCCCCAAAGAAGAGGGAGTCAAGCTATTCTCCAAAGCACCTGAAGGCAGGACAAGAAGCAATGGGTGGAAGATTATTAAATAGAGAACAGTTGCAGGAATTGATATATGTCTAGTTTAATGAGAAGAAGGACTAGGGGAGACAGGAGAGCAGTCTTCCAATATCTCAGGGGCTGCCCCAAAGAAGAGGGAGTCAAGCTATTCTCCAAAGCACCTGAAGGCAGGACAAGAAGGAATGGGTGGAAATTAATCAAGGAGAGAAGCAACTTAGAACTGAGGAGAAATTTCCTGACAGTGAAAACAATTAACCAGTGGAACA